GCGCTGGTCTGAGGCTTGGCCTCCTGTCTGAAGTGAGCTGTCAGCTGGCTGGCAGATTTCATACGAGTATCGGAGAAGACAAGCACTCAGACAGAACTCCGCACACCCCAGTCACCTCCTCCCCACAGATAGAAACTGCAAGAGCTTTACAAGCTTTACAATTTACAAATCAGGGCAGCTGACAGCGAGGGGGGGGGGGGAGTCAGGTGGGGTGTCATGGGGCACCAGTGCACAGACACTGCTCTGAGGACAGCTTTGTGCTCCTAATTAAATTTTATTTATTTATATGTATTAATTTATTGTGAACTACTTGGGGAAACTGTAAACAAGATGTTCTCCTCTTGGAAAAATGGGGTGTAGGCAGCAGACAGTTGAACTTTCTGAATACAGTGGAGACAGAGGGATGGAGAGAACTGGAGAGGACTGGGAGACAGCGGAGAGATAAAGGAGAGACTGGGAGAGGGAGAGGAGGGACTGAGAGAGAGAGAGGAGAGAGAGGAGTTGCACTGGGAGAGAGAGAGGAGAGAGAAGAGGGACTGGGAGAGAGAGGAGGGACTGGGAGACAGAGGAGAGAGAGGTGGGACTGGGAGAGAAGGGAAAAGAGAAAGGTAGGGGCTGGGAGGGAGACAGAGAGAGAGACACACAGAAGGTGAGTGTGCTGTGCTGTGTCTAAAGAGATCCTATAAGTATCTCCATGCTGGAGCTTAGCAGTAGTGAGCACATGGTCACAGCTTGACACAGTGTGTCCAGCATTTCTTCATCATCTTCATCAGTTCAAAGAAAAACGAAGACAAGCAGATGAGCGTGGGTTGACAAAACCACTCAGACAGTTACTTAGAAAGCTGAGCTGTGAGTTAAGGGGATGGACACGCTGCAGGCACACGTGTTGCTGTATCTGGCCTACAGGGGGCGAGCTGTGCCTCAGCAGAGACTCTGCACATCTGCAACCACACGAAGGGACCAGCAGGGTTTCAGGAACGTGACTGCGCTGTGCTCTGCTTTCCCATCACACTCCACAGACACTGTGTTGCTACAGAGGATTAACTGCTGTGTCTTAATCCATGACCAAAAAAACAAAGAAGCTTTCATATTATAAACAAGGTTAAAACTATTAAAACAATTTCTTTCAGACATACTTCCTTCTTCCTCTGTGTATCTGTCTACCTAATCTACAATAAAAAGTAAAAGAAAAAAAGTAAAACAAGAACATACAGAATAAACTATAGGGCAATCAGACATAGGTCCTAGTAAAAGGTGGGTTTTCAGTTTAGATGTTTCCGGAAGGCATTCCATACCAATGAAGCAGTGCCAGAAAAAGCACAGTCTCCTAAAGTCTGAGATTTAGTCCTGGGGACAGTGAGCAGAGGACAAGCCTCCACTGAGCCGAGCCTGCAGGAGGGAGTGTAGACATAGAGGAGCTCAGAGGTGTGTGATGGAGCTAGATTGTAACCTTAGAGCCTTTAAAGTCAGTAACAAGATCTTATATTGAATATATGACTTTACAGGACACCAATGTATAGAAACTTAGGTATAGGAGTAATATGTTGCCAGCATCTGGTGTGAGTTAGTGGTCTATCTGCAGAGTTTTGGACAAATTGCAGCTTACTGAGAAGAGTGTTAAGGAGCCCAAAGAACAAAGAGTTGCAGAAATCAAGCCTTGATGTTATAAATACGTGAATCCAGCACTCAGCATCAGACATTGGTGGAAACTGCCCATTTTGGGCAATATTTCTAAGGTGAAAAAAATGTCCTCATTAAATTTTTCAAGTGGAGCTCAAAAGACAGGAGAGGATCAAGCGTGACTCCCAGATTCCTGACAATGACTGGAAGGCAGCAACCTTTACTGTGAAGCTCTCACGCATGATTGACTGGGACGTGGGGGATTTAGGAGGGCCAAGGAGGAGTGGAACCAGTTAAAAACAGAACCACTGATAGACAACAATGTCTGCAAGCACATGAGCAACACTGAATGAGCTACTTATCAAAAGCTGCATTAAGTTTGAGGAGCATAAGAATAGTTATAGCCCCCAAGTGAGACGCAATAAGTAAATCATTCACAACCCTGACAAGAGCAGTCTCAGTGCTATGATTAGAGCTAACACTGGACTGGTTCAAACAGATCATTCACTATCATGTGAGCCTATAATTGAAGTGCAACCACAGGTTCTGAAACCCTAGATAGGAATGGTCGTTTGGAAAGTGTTCTGCAGTCCATGGACCAGAATCCGAGCCAGGATGCTTTAGTATTGGAGTGGCTGACGCAGTCTTGAAATTGAAGTTGAAGTTACCACACCCATGGAAAGGGAACAGTTGATGGTGTTGACAATTAATGGGCAGGTGACTTGAGGGCATGTTTTCAGTAAAGATGTAGAGGTGGGATCTAGACAACAAGAAGTTGTTTTGCGGCTGTTGATGATTTTTATAAGTTGATCTGAAGTAAGTAAGCCACATTGAGAAACCTCTGGTACAGAGGGAATGTCAATGGAAAAGCTAGGGCTCAGACAGTGGTCCAAATCAGCTACCTAAGAACGATCACAGGCAAGAGAAGCCTTCCAGTCCACGGTCTGGGCGACAGTAGTTAATTGGTCGGAGAATGATTTCATCCAGATGTGTCTTAAAGGAAACCAGGGTATCAGGGTAGCTTGTCCCAGACCCCCACCCCCTTTTGTTAAAGTGCCTCCTGTTCTCACTTTTGACTCTGTCAGAGCCTGGTGAGCACACCCAGAGCACTCAACACACACTCATCTGCACAGTTCTCAGGGACGAAAACACACTTTGCTTCTGTTTTGTTCTGTTCTGCTTCTTTGTTTCTTGTTGCCATCACAGCTGATTTTGCTTCTTTAAATGTTCACAGTGATTTTCGGGAAGAGGAATGGAACAGAACGCCTTTGACCCTGGAGCAAGGAGCACAGACAGTGCTTCTGTTCGCACAGTCACTCGCCCTGTCCCTGCCTGCTGGGGCTGAGGGCTGACATATCCCACCAGAGGGGACAATCAGTGTCTCCAGGTACACACCAACCACGAGCCTGCCCTCTCTGCAGGGGTAAGCTTTCTGATAATGTAAGCCTGGGATTGCTCGCAGGGGTGCAGAGACTAGAGAAACACACACACA